CATTAAAAGCATTTTATACCAAAAACTTTTCAGGTTGCGGTCTTCTGTAATGCTAGGAAAAACTGAAGGCAGCAGAAAAAGAGGAAGACCCAACCTGCGATGGATCGAGTCAATCGACAAAGCCACAAGGGCCCTCAGTTTCCAACACCTGAGCCAGGCTGTGAACGAGAGGATGTTTTGGAGGTCATGAATTCACGGGATCGCCATAATTCAGAGGCAGTTTGATGGCACATGACACACACATACGTACATTCCATAAACCATAAAACAAGAAAAAAAGTTTTAAAAGAAGAGGTTTTGGTACCCAGAAGTCTAATTTTGACTTGCCGTGTTTTGTTTTATTCGGCCCAAAGGGTATCATCCAAAACATAAACACAGAAGTTAGAAAATAGAAATTAAAGTGCTCTTGGGCAGACATCGAGTTCTTTTTGAAGGGCTTCATTTTTTTGCCTGTGTTTCTATATTGTGCTGGAGCATTGCTGCCCTATTTCCCAGGAAAGGCGACAAAGACTTTTCTTTTGGGGAAGCTGATACGTTCTCTTGGTAGAACTCAAAAGGAACACAGTTTTAACCTGTGCGAAGTGCAGTGCCACATTTCTGAAACCCTCCTTTCTTGCCAGAAGTCAACCGGACCAGAACCCAAGGCAGAATCAACGGAAGGAGTTGCAGATGAATAACAGCAGAACCGAGGGATTTGCTTACCCCTAAAACATACTTCGTCTGTCACCCCCCCCCCAAAAAAAAAAACCCCAGCAAACTGATTAAAACCACAACATGAAAGTTGCAGGGATGTGTGTGATCCCCCTTGTCACTCTTATACACGTACTTTTAAGAACCAGAGCGCCCTCTGCTGTCTCAGCCAGTGATCTGGTACCCAGACATGGTCGAGAATAGGCTGTATGCCCAAGGGGTGTTCCAAGTGGAGAATTTCCCAGGAGGATCCTGATGGGCATATTTTATGTATTTATTCATCTGTTCATTTAAAACATTTAATAGCCGCCTTTTTTCCTTAATGGAGAGCCAGTCTGGTGTAGTGGTTAAGTGCACGGACTCTAATCTGGGAGAACCGGTTTTGATTCCCCACTCCTCCACTTGCACCTGGCTGGATGACCTTGGGCAAGCCGTAGTTCTGATAAGAGCTGTTCTTGAAAAAGAGCAGTTTCTGTCAAGAGCTCTCTCAGCCCCACCTACCTCACAGGGTGTCTGTTGTGGGGAGGGGGAGGGAAAGGAATTTGTAAGCCGCTCTGAGACACCTTTGGGTAGTGAAGGGCGGGGTACAAATCCAATCTCTTCTTCCTCTTCTTCTTCTCAGGTTGGCTGAGTTCAATGGGGCTCCACTTTGAAGGATGATGTGTGAGACCTAACAGTCGGGCAGAGGCGTAACTAGAGCAAGCACCCAACAGTTGTGGTTTCCAAAGCCTAGTTGAACATACTCAGTGAAAATCTCAGCTCTAAAATGCAAAGATATGAGGAATGGAAGCCAGAGAAGACAGTAAAGCATACCATTGTGATCAGCAGTCAGTGGAAGCCAAAGGGCAGATTTCTATGGTATTCTTGGTTAATTAATTAATTAATTATCACATGGCATAGTATGTCAAACAGCAAGGAGATCCTGGGATTGTCTGGCAGCCACAAGCTCTGGCTCTTAGCATTGGGCAGTGGTGAGCTAGACTTGGTGCTGAGGGGGCCAAAGTGAGAGGGCTTCTGTAGGTCTGGCCCCGTTGGTGGACCTCCTGATGGCCCCTGGGTTTTGGCCACTGTGTGACACAGAGTGTTGGACTGGAGGGGCCCATTGGCCTGATCCAACATGGCTTCTCTTATGTCCTTATGTTCTATCAAGAAAGGTGTATTTCTCCCACAGTGTGGCTGGAGCATACATTTCCAAAGGATGCACACATCCCACTGGGAATAACCACTGAGGATGGAAGGGAAATCTCTTTGGAGATGCCGCTCCCCTCCCCCCATGGCAGGCATCATGGCTGGCCACTTGTGGTGTCTAGACGTGGAATTATTTGCTACATGCACTGCAAGTGCGTAGCTCTTTTCCCTGTACGTGTCTATGCAAAATTCAGTCTAACTCTTAAGCTCCTTACTAGTTTCATTTTGCACTAGTGACCCTGGAAACATTCTGTACTTCTGAACTTCTACAGTGATTCCCCCCAGTCCTAGCAAAAGCAGAATTTGCACGTTCTTCTTACAGCCAAATCAAGGATGTCCAGTTAATTTGTTGTAAGGACCAGATCTGCCATACGAGGAAGAGGAGAAGACCCGAAGGAGTCTCAGAGCGCTTTAGAAACTCCTTTCCCATCCCCTCCCCACAACAGACACCCTGTGAGGTAGGTGGGGCTGAGAGAGATCTTTGGAGAACTGCTCATGAGAGAACAGCTCTGAAAGAACTTGTCACTGACCCAAGGTCACACCAGCAGCTGCAAGTGGAGGAGTGGGGAAATCAAACCCAGTTCTCCCAGATTAGAGTCCACGCTCTTAACCACTACACCAAACTGGCCTCGGTAGGGCTGCGTGTACTGTAAATGATCTAAATGCAAAAAAAAGAGCACTAATTCTATTAATACCAATTAATTGAATTAGTACAAATAATTATTAGTCTGTGATGAAGACATTAATATGAAATTTCAATCCTAATTTAACTAATAACGGTACGTTTGGCCCAAAGTTTAATGACCTGAAGCACCTGCCAAATAGCTGTGTGTTTTTTGAAATTTCCAAACCGGGGGGGGGGGGGGGGGGCTTGCTTCTGTCAAGAATCCCAAGAACGGACACAAAGACGTGGGGTACCTTCTCCTTTCCACAGCTGCCAATCTCTGGGTGGGACAACCAATCTCCAAACTACAGAGGTCAATTCCCGGAAGGATGTGGTTCCTTTGGAGGGCGGACTTGATGGCATTGTACCCTGCCAAGGCCCCTCCCCTCCCCAAACCCCGCCCTCCCCAGGCTCCACCCCTAAATCTCTTAGGAATTTCCCAACCCAGACCTGGCAAACTGAACCTTCTAAGGGGCAGCCAATGTCACAAGCACTTCCCTTGCCCCTCTGGGGTTCTGCCATCCCCCCAATCCCAACCACCGATTCATAACGCAAGCTGCTGGACATGTCCCGTAAGTGCCCCTGGAGAAGGCATGCTGTCTGACACTCCCTCCAGGGATGTGGCATTGCAGCCGTGCCTCCTCCGAAGGCCTGTGGCTCAGTGGCAGAGCATCTGCTTGGCACGCAGACGGTCCCAGGTTCAATCCCGGGCATCTCCAGTTGAAAGGACCAGGCAGTAGGTGGTGTGAAAGACCTCTGCCTGAGACCCTGGAGGGCCGCTGTCTGTCTCAGCAGACAATACTGACCCTGATGGACCGATGGTGTGGTTCGGGGCTTTTTTTTGTTTTTTTTAACTCCCAAGAGGGAAATGAAGGTTCTTTCTGCATCTGCTTGCCACTCCAGATCTTCTCAGTGTTTGGGTCAAGGCAATTTAAGTCCATGGCAGAACAGCATCCAATTAACCCTGGGGCAACAGCAGGCTGAAACCGGGCTGACCGATGAAGGGAGGGAATGGTCCTTTCCGCACTAGACCTTAAATCCTGGTTCAACCCTGTCCCCGAACTTACATTCTACACTAAACGCGAGTTCACCCCTGTAATTATCCCAGGGTGTTTTTACATTCTACACTACACTCGAGTTCACCCCTGTAATTATCTCGGGGTATTTTTACATTCTACACTACACTCGAGTTCACCCCTGTAATTATATGCAACTTTGCACATGTGTGATGTTTCCCATGCATTTATGACTGTGTGTGCTTGTATGGATCCTTTTTGCTGTGTGTACGGTCCTTTCCGCATTTGCCTGCTACTCCAGATTTTCTCAGTGTTTGAATCGAGGCATTTTGAGTCCACGGTAAAACAGCATCTAAATAACCCACGGCAACAGCAGGCTGAAACCGGGCTGACCATTGAAGGGAGGTAGTGCAATGCAGAATGGGGGGAAAACCCAGAATAAAAAGAAGATTGAACTCGATTTGAGCGCAGAATGGGGGGGGGGGGGGACCTGGATTAAAAATAACATTGGATTTGATTTTAGTGCAGAATTGCTTGGAGCACACCGTGGTGAACATGGATTAAAAGGAGAGTGCAGACAGGGCCAAAGTTTCCAATCTGTATACTCAAAACGCATGAGCTTTTAAACATTTTTAAAAGAATTTTGTCGAAGAGGTTCCGGAACTTCGTTCTAGCATGTTCCCCCAGAAGGAAAGCCCCAGTCTGATTCAGTATAAGGCAATTCCATGTGTGTTCCTGTGACTCTCTGTCTGCGGAGACTTTGCATAAAGAAAGCACCATACATTGGCCGCAGGAGTTTCATGTCACTTTTATTCTTCTACTAAATGAAATGCATGAGTGTTTTTAAACTAAGATTGTCCACAGAAAAGGAATGCCAAATATGAGAGAAACGCAGCTGGTCGTCTTCTGTTGAGAGCAACATGCTTGCAATGTACCCACCTGGTGTTTAGTTGGTTGAAAAACAAAGGTTCTGGTGTTTAACTATTGATTCGTGGAACTGAGAAATGAATCCCTTTTTCTTCGATCACAACATGCTTTGCTTTTTTTCGTTTTCGCCTCGTGTCGTATAAGAAGTCAATTAGTCATGCAAAGTTTTATTCGGTTTAAATGCATTAACAATCTGGTTTGTACAGGATTTTTCCCCCCCAACCAGCCACAGCCTTTCCCGCAGGTCATCACCCAGAACCGCTGAAATGTTACCTGCTTAATGGAGGGTTCGTTTCGAAAAAAGACTCCCTAATTGTAGATCAGACTGCAAAGACCCACATGTGGCCGGGGACTTGGGAAACATTCACCTCCCGTGATGGTGTGGCGCAGCAAAAGAGGAAAAGGATGCCAAGGAGCAATGGCTGCTTCTGCTCAACAGTTGAGTTTGGAGGATCGGGTCCCTTCCTTTGACTCCTGTTCTCAGTACATTAAAGGGCAGCTTTGTAGTTAAAAATCTAGAACTGGTACCATTTCTTGTCCTTCTGTTTCAGCATCACCTACGGGTGGGGGGTAGAAAATAAAATTGTTTAGTGGCACAGAACTGCTCAAGTAAATCATTGGCTTGGATCCGTTCTGCGAGCAGAGGTGATTTTCTCAAACAGAAGCCTTCCCCTGATGCAACTTCAAGAATAAGAATGAGACTAATCAAGATGGACAAAAGGAAATACTGCTTTACACAGAGAGTGATTAAAATGCGGAATTCGCTGCGAGCAGAGGAGATTTTCTCAAAGGGAAGCCTTCCCCTGATGCAACTTCAAGAATAAGAATGAGACTAATCAAGATGGACAAAAGGAAATACTGCTTTACACAGAGAGTGATTAAAATGCGGAATTCGCTGCCAGAGGATGTAGTGATGGCCACAGGAATAAACGGCTTTAAAGGGGGACTGGGCAGACTCATAGAGGATAGGTCTATCAATGGCCATGGTGCCTGAGGGGATCCTCCACATTCAGAGGCACTACACCTGTGAATCTCAGAGGCAGGAGGCAACATCAGGGGAAGGCCTCTGCCTCTATGCCCTGCTGTTGGCTGTCCATAGGAACTGGTTGGCCACTGTGTGGGACAGGAGGCTGGACTAGATGGACAATTGGTCTGATCCAGCAGGGTTCTCCTTTAGTTCTTAGGAAGGCCTCGGACTCTATGCCCCATTGCTGGCTGTCCAGAGGAACTGGTTGGCCACTGTGTGAGACACTGGATGCTGGACTAGATGGACTGTTGGTCTCATCCAGCAGGGCTCTCTCTTCTTATGTTCTTATGAAGGCCTCGGCCTCTATGCCCTGTTGCTGGCCCTCCAGAGGAACTGGTTGGCCACTGTGTGAGACAGGATGCTGGACTAGATGGACTACTGGTCTGACCCAGGAGGGCTCTTCCTATGTTCTTTTAATTGGCTACAAGCCATGGTAGCTGAGGGGAACCTCCACATTCAGAGGCACTAAGCCTCTGAATCCCAGAGCCAGGAGACAACATTAGGGGAAGCCCTTGGCCTCTATGCCCTGTTGCTGGCCCTCCAAAGGAGCTGGTTGCCCACTGTGTGAGACAGGATGCTGAACTAGATGCACTACTGGTCTGATCCAGCAGGGCTCTTATGTTCTTAAGGATATGTCCTAGAGATTCTGGGTCCAAAAAAGGGAGAAAAGGGGAGGGGTTAGCTCTTGCAAGCTCAGTACAAGTGTTAGATAAGTCAAGCAGGTGGGAGGACACTGCGGGAGCACACTACAGGAATAACAAAACTGAAAATATTGGCACCCCACCTTTCCTTTTGGGTCCAGTTTCATGCCTTCCTTCAACCTAAGGAGGCTTCCTCCAAGCCAAGTGGGGGGGGAGGTTCCTCACACTGGAGGAAGGAGGGTGGTGGTTGCATCCAGTGTTCCCTCTAAGCTGAGTCTTCCCCCAAGCCGGGGGGGGGGGGAGGTTCCTCACACTGGAGGAAGGAGGGTGGTGGTTGCATCCACCCCAGTAAGTGATCCAAACCTACAGAAATCCAAGGTCTTTATGCACCCCACACACAGGTCACCTGGGAAACAGGAAGGTTCATGGGAAGACCGAGAGCGGATGCAAGTCCCCGTTCAACTGTGACCCTCACCAGGTGACCGTGGGGGCACCCCCTTTTCTCAACCCCCCCAGGGTTATTCTGAGGATAACGTGGATAGTGTGGGGATGGGTGAGGGTGGGGGTGTTTCTGTATACAGCCCTGAATTCCTTCCTTCCTTCCTTCCTTCCTTCCTTCCTTTTATATCCCGCACTTCCTGCAAGCGGGCTCAGGGCGGATCACAACAATAAATCCCAATACAACCGTAATACGATTCAGTCAATAAATATCAAACGTTAAATTAATACAATAAAAGCTAGTTAAAAACAGTTTAAAGTGGGCAGTGCAGCAAATTTCAATTTTCAGCTTCTACAGGCGGGAATGAGTGGGCAGAAGCCGAGCCGTAAACGTCTTGTTAAGAGTCGCCTCCTGCCACAGAAACAGGGAGGCCTCAGCCAAAGGGCTGGTGGAACAGCTCCATTTTGCAGGCCCTGCAGAACTGTGACAGGCCCCACACGAAGGAAAGAATAACATAGTCTTCCGTAAAAAAAACTGCAGGTAGCTTGCGAAAAGAACACTGACGTCAAATAGATAAAAATCAACTAACTCAAATGAGAAGAAGAAGAGATTGGATTTATACCCCACCCTTCACTACCCAAAGGTGTCTCAGAGCGGCCTACAAACTCCTTCCCCTTCCCCTCCCTACAACAGGCACCCTGTGAGGTAGGCGGGGCTGAGAGAGCTCTTGACAGAAACTGCTCTTTTTCAAGAACAGCTCTTATCAGAACTACGGCTTGCCCAAGGTCATCCAGCCAGGTGCAAGTGGAGGGGTGGGGAATCAAACCCGGCTCTCCCAGATTAGAGTCTGCGCACTTAACCACTACACCCCTACACCAAACACTACACCAAAAGAATAGAATGACACAATGAATAAAAACAGAACAAAATGGCACCAATGATATCTCTCTACCTTGAAAACTCGGGAACCATTAAAAGCAGCCTATTAAAAACTTGCAATGTTTTTTTTTTAAAGTCCCCCCAAACAGTCAACTTGAGGGAGATTATTCATTCAGATGTCCTTGAAGGCACTCTGGAAAAGAATCGTTATCCCCAGAAGTGAATCACTGAGGGAGACAAGGGGTGGACTGGGAGGGGGAAATTATCCTGGAAAAGGGGTCCACCCCCAGCCCACCTTGGCTCCGCCCACCCACAGAAGAGGGAGAGGCACTCCGCCTGGCCTTCTCCTTGGGCTTTTCCACCTTCTCGTTTTCTAAGTTCCTGTGTTCTTCCGGGGGGAGGGGGGAGAGTTTCTGTTCCGCACACATTTTGTTCCCTGTAGTGGTCAGTTCAATATTACCATGGTTTATTTCCAGCATAAAACCCTGCAGTTTAAATCTGCAGGGAGATATGCTGGAAATAAACTGGTGCAATAGCGAATCAACCAATAGGGGGGGAAAACACGTGTGAAATATAAGACTGGGGGTGGGAAAATGTATCCCTCTCTGAGCAAACCCCCATTTTCATAACGGCTTCACTCTTTGCCTGGGACGGACACCAACCTCGTGTGCATGTTTGGAGAAGGATTCTGCGCTGGCCATCATCCGGGCTGTCCTCTCGTCTAGTTCTCCCAGTTTCTGCCCCCTCTCGTCGAGGGCTATGCGTGCGCGAGCCAGCTCTCCAATGGCACTTCCTGCGGCTCCTTTCACACCCTCCACTCCGCCGGACCCAGGGATGTGCTGAGCAAGACTCCGAGACGCTTTTCCAGCTGTGGCCTCGCCAACTGGAAATGAAGTCCAGGATGGAATGAGACCTTTCCCTTCTCCTCCCTGAAATCCCACGAATGGTAGGCCATCGATTCAGTTACTGACACTATCTTCCGAAGGGGGGAGGGACATTTCTAGATGAATTTCCCATCCATGTAGTCAATCATTTTGTACCCTCACATCTTTTGCTAACGTCAATAAGACAAAAGTAATGACTACGGAAGAATTACACAGCTTTAAGGCTGACAATGAACTTGTTGAAGATTATTTACCTCTTGGTTCCATCATCAACCAAAAGGGATTGTGCGACCAAGAAATCAGAAGGTGATTGAGACTGGGAAGAGAAGTCTTGAAGGGGCTATGTCATGATCTGGGCTATGCCACCGGAGGCCTAGTAGGCCCAGGGAGCCTGCTAGCAGTAAGGGAGGCTGGGCCTACAAACCCCAGAAGGCCTTGGGAAGTTTTGGCGCTGATTTTGGCCAGTAGGGAAGAAGAGGGCTGGGGAATAAAAGAACTGGTGCAAGAGGAGAAGCTGTTCTTCTTCCCAGGGAACAGGGCCAGAAGGAAGACTGCTGTGGGGAAGAAACCCTCATCCTGAGAGAAGGGTGAGTAGTCTAAGGCCACCTGAGATAGTGAGCTAGGGATAGTATATTTAGACACATTAGGGCATTTGATTTCTTTTCTTTTCACCCACTTACTGTTGTTATTCCTGCACATTGTTTGTTTGACCGCCTATAAAATAAACCGTTTTCATTGTTCACTCTGCCTGGTCCTCACGCTCATTTCGGCTAAAAGGGAGGTCTAAAGGCTTGGGAGGGTGCTCTCGGCCTTCTCAGAGGAGCCTGGAACCAGAGTGGTGGCGGCGTCAGGTGACACCCCACTTGAGCTGTGACAGGCTAGAAAAGACACTTAAGAATAAGGAAGTGTCACTGGTGACCAAGATCAAGATAATTCATACTATGGTATTTCCCATTACTGCATATGGGTATGAAAGCGGAACAATGAAGAAAGCTGACAGATCAAGAACCACCTTGAACAGTTGTGCTAGACTGAACTAGGCAGATGTTGTAGTGCCAGAGGAAAAAACCAGCTTTTTTCACTGCAATGGACACACTGCAGGTCTTTCAAATGAGCCCTGTGCTATGTTCTGTCTTACTGAGGACGTGTTTTCCACCAGTCATCCTCTAATCATCTCTCCACTCATTTCTGTCTCCCCCAACGGCCTTGTAAACCATGCAAGAGGGTGGCCTGTTTGAAGGGGGAAGAGGGTGCCGGAGAAGAGCTCTGTCTACCTACCAGATAATCCACTGCTCCTAATTGACACCAGGGTTTTCACAGAGTCCCCTGCAGCATTCCAGAATCCAGTATGATCCACAAGTCTGCAGAGATGGACCACTGAGGGGAGAGTGGGAAACCTCTCCACGCCTCCAGCAGATAATGATCTCATCATGACAACCGTCTCAACTCTAGCCCTTTCAGCAGACCACCAGAAGACTGACTGATACGGTAGGTCCACCTTCTGCCCTTTTTATGCACACATCCCAAAACCACCTGGGACTGTCCCATGGTTGCCACGGCAGGCATGGCACAGTGACCTCAGCAGGAGCACTGAAGTCTCCCCAAAGCAAGAGTCCGGGATTCTCCAGCACCAGATTCGAGTCCCAGTGTTCCCTCTAAGCTGAGTTAGTGTGAGCTAGCTCACAGTTTTTTAGCCTTTAGCTCACACATTTTTTTCTTAGCTCAGGAAGGATGGCTCCAGAGCAACTAATTTATGCAGTAGTCAAATCACCTGCTCACAACTTTAATGCCGGTAGCTCACAAAGTAAAATTTTTGTTCACAAGACTCCGCAGCTTAGAGGGAACACTGGACTCGACCTGTCCCTAGCAGCCAAAAACAAAAGGCACAGGTCTTTGCTGGCCACTAGCCTGCAGGAGGAGAATTCTAGTCACTTCCCCCACCCCATTTGGATTTGATGGACTGTATACTTAGCTTGCACGAACAGTGTACAATACGGAAACACAGGCAAAATCCACCCCTCCACTCAAATGAGCCACGTCAATAGGTTTGTCTTTGATCAAATAATGAAGCAAAGGCATTACTTGACCTGACATTTAACAGCAACAAGGTCAAACTGCGGGAAATGGTGGCTGCAGTCAGATATGCCATTTGGCGTGGTCGGAAAGCGCTCCTATTTCATCCGCTGGTTTTTGATGGAGTTGCTCAATCAGATATCCCATTTTGCTGAGGGTTCAGCCCATCACTGCGCAATCAGATGGTGTGGATGGGCAATGGTTTTAATTTTTTTGCCTGCTTTTGCGCATGCACATAAATGAGGGTGCAGTTTTTTGCACATGCGCTTTCCAACTCCCAGGAGTCGAGTCTCCACTTTGAACGTTCACCGATCCTTCCACGGAGCACTGTGATCCCTTTGGTTCACAGTGAGCCGTGGTCACCTGACAAAGATCACTCCCTTTCCTGCTCGTTTTCAAAGCCTGGCCTAGAGATGGGGACAATTATGCGGTTATGCACATATCGCTAAGTGAGAAGGGAAAAAAAGCGCCCAGTCGGGATGGAATGAGCAAACCATCCCGACACCCTGAGAGTGTGCTTGAGTGATCAGACTAGGGAAAATCCGTCCGTGGCCTGTTAGCAAGTGTTAGGATTTGACTGGTGCTGACGACTGCGGAACCTTTTGCAGACGTTGCTGTCTGATCATGCACTTTAGATCTGTCTGGCATCTGCAGCTCTATCGGATCTAAAGGGACGCCTGAATGCGGCCGGTATCAGGTGGGTAGCCATGTTGGTCTGATACTACAGAACAAGGTTTGAGTCCAGTGGCACCTTTAAGACCAACAAAGTTGAATGCTGGGTTCAAGCTTTCGTGTGCATGCTGCACACTTCTTCATATATTTGAAGAAGTGTGCGTGCACACAAAAGAAGAAGAAGAGACTGGATTTATACCACGCCCTTCACTCAGAGTCACAGAGCGGCTTACAAACTCCTTTCCCTCCCCCTCCTCACAACAGACACCCTGTGAGGTAGGCGGGGCTGAGAGAGCTCTGACAGAAACTGCTCTTTTTCAAGAACAGCTCTTGTCAGAACTATGGCTTGCCCAAAGTCAACCAGTATGTGCATGTGGAGGAATGGGGAATCAAACCCAGTTCTCCCAGATTAGAATCCGCGCACTTAACCACTACACCAAACTGGCTCTACCCACTACACCAAGTTTATACCCAGAAGTCATCCCAATCTCAGGTCTTTGGGTGGGATGAAGAGATTATACCCAGACAGAGCCCAATCATGTCTTGACCCACAATGGTCTGCACACCCCTCTTTTCCTACCATGCCTATGTACCATTTGGACATTATTTATCTCGACAGTAATCAATAAATAGCCCTCTTCCACCTTCCCCATTCCCGGTGCTGCAACCACAGTAACCATACGAAGTCGCAAAATGACAGGTGACCCATAGCCACACGCAGCGGCCGCCCTGGATTTCTATTCATGCCGGCAGAACGAAATTTGAAGAAGAAGAAGAAGAAGAAGAAGATGAAGAAGAAGAAGAAGAAGAAGAAGAGGAGGAGGAGGAGGAGGAGGAG